GCTAATCATAAGATAAACTGTCAAAACAAAAACAAATAGGAAGAGGAATGAATTATATAAGGAAGGGCCTTTCAAAGAATGAGCCTCTCTACCTCTTTGCTCTTTAGGGCTTGTATATCATTCACAAAACATCGGAGGTCTTAAAATTACTTAAAAATTAATGTTTATATGAAAGAAATTACATTTGAAGAATATATTATTAGATAAGTATCTTGTATCACTCTATAACTTTTTAAAATTGTTATAGAAGAATGTTTTATGTTCATGATGTATTGTTAAGAAAAAGAAACAGATTACCAAACCATCTATACATGGGTGCATAATCCTGTCTTCACTTTTTCAAAATTAAATCAGACGTGGGGAATTTCTTCATGATTCAATCTGCTGAACTATGCAGCCATCCTATGTTCATTTTTAGTAAACTATTTGTACATGTACAAAAAGGACTGAAAGGCTATATACAAAAATGTTAATGGTGATTATCTCTGAATGGTAGTATTATGTATGATTTTTATTTTCTTCTTTTTTTATTACAAAAGACATTACTTCTATACTATGAAAAATAATAAAATTAATATTTTACAAAGAAGTGCTTTATGTATAGTAAATGTTTACTAAATGTTCTTGAAAATGGAATGGAATGGAAAGGAACGGAACAGAATTTGATATAAGTTAGAATCTGAGCCACCTAGAGTTCTTATCCAGTTCTACCATTGAATTGTTAAATGGCCTTGGCCTGATCATTTTTCTTTCAGTTCTCTATTTAAAATCGTAAAGAATTTGTTGTATTTAAGAGATTTTTATAAAAAGTATCCTTTCACTAGGACACCACTGGTGAAATTGGAACTAGTGTTTTGTCACTCTCTAACGTCTCTAAAAAAACCAGATATTGGAATAACGTTCCTGAAGAATACAGGCATTTTACTTTTAATGATCTGTTTAACAACAAACTGGAGTTTGAACATTTCCGCCAGTTTCTTGAGGCTCATTCTGCAAGGTGAGGAATATAACCATTTTTAAGCATATTTCTCATTTAAAACAGAATTTTTCTAAGGTACTGGTTTTGAGTCAACATTTTATACTAGTGATTTGGTGCTAGATTTTACTCATGTCAGAATGAACATAATTACATGAAATCTGTATGGATAACTTTTTTTTGATGGGGTTTCACTATGTTGCCCAGGCTGATCTTGAACACCTGGTCTCAAGCAGTCTTCCCACCTCAGCCTCCTAAGGAGCTGGAATTACAGCGAACCAATGCACCTGGCTATAGGGTTAACTTTTTGCTGGAGTGCATTTTGATTGTTGCAGCCTCCATATTGTTATTTTAAATGGTTACACAATATATGTTGATGTTTTTAGCATTGGCTAACTTAAAACACCAGTATGCTTTACTTTTTCTCCTTTTTGCTATTTCTTTCTTTTGCATTTCTCTAGACAGGTACTTTACTTGCTATTTCTAGAAAGTGTCTTTTATATTTCACTAAGATATTGAAATTATTGTAATATTTTACAATTTTTATTAACTGATATGTAAATGAAACATTGTAGTTTTGCCCAGAATCTTGAACCTTATAACATATTTATCTAATATCAGCTGAAGTATTGATTATATATTTTTCATATTAATTTTCTACCAAGTTAACAGAAATGGGTTAGATGTGGGAGCCAGATGTCACTGTATATAGTTTCCCTTCATTGTGATGAACATTATCTTAAATTTGGCCTGTTGTCAAATGGACATGCCATATGTGTAAATTTTCTCATATTTGAAATTGGTGATACTAGTTCATCATTCGTGGAAGAACTCTGAGACCCCACCAATAATGATGATAGATTATTTTCTGATACCAATGCTTCTTTGTCATTCATATATTTAGCCAGGATTCGGAGTATAATAGAGTCAACCTAACTGGCCTAGAAAAGGATCAGAGATACTTTATTGTACTCATTAGTTCCGTGATCTAATCAGTTGTGCTAATTAGTCAAGGTGGCCACTTTATAAGTTCTGTCAAAACAAACTGTTTGGTGTGTAGTAGAATTTGGAGAAATAAATAAGATTTTGTTTTCATTTTAGCATGGACCTTATGTGCTGGACAGACATTGAGCAGTTCCGAAGAATAATTTATAGAGATCGAAATCAAAGGGAGGCAAAATCTATATACATTAAAAACAAATACCTTAATAAAAAATATTTCTTTGGACCCAACAGTCCAGCTTCGCTACATCAGCAAGACCAGGTATTGGCATGGACACCTCTTTTTTATATTGATGTATGAAAAGCAATAATTTATTTGCTAACAACTTGAAAGTCTCTTTTTTCTTTTGTTTTGCTTTTATGACTTATATGTTAGATACTTTTGATATTTATTTAGATATTCATAAGTATGTGTAAATTAAATGTCTTTAAAATCCACTCAAGTACTGCATAGTATAAAAATGTGTCACTTTGAAAAGTAATTTATAAAATAAAATAGCTTCTATTCATCCACTGATTCATTCATTCAACAAATAAGAGTTCCTATGATATGCCAGACACTGTTCCAGGGGCTCAGGATAGTGTGGTGAACAAGATGGACAAGGTCCCTACACCTTTCAACAAGTAGAAAGCAGCCATTATCAACTGCTAAACCTAATCTCTCTTTTCTGTTTTTCTCTTAACAGATATTACTCCAAACATAATCAATCTTTGAAAATCCTGTTTACAATTGTATTGTCCCCAGAAACTATTATCACTGGCTAGGAACATAGGTTTGGCCATTTTGTTGGGCTACAGTCCTATGGCCTTAATCACAGCTTATTAATAATTACAGTGTCATTAGATTGGGATTCAGCAGTGGATTTGTGTTCATGTGACACTTCTCATAAAATATGGCTCAATTTTTATACTTTTGAAATATAAAGAATTAAGTATTATAATTTGTTTAAAGTTTGTTAATACTGCATTAATACCTAAAGATCAAGTGCATAGTGTCTGTTTTTTTGTTTGTTTGGTTTTGAGGTAGGATCTTACTCTGTTGCCTGTGCTAGAGTGCAGTGGCATGATCGTAGCTCACCGCAACCTCAAACTGCTGGGCTTAAGTGATTTTTATGCCTCAGTCTCCCAAGTAGTTGGTACTACAGGCACATGCCACCATACCTGGCTCATTTTTCTGTTTATCGTAGAGACAGGGGTCTTGCTCTTGCCCAGGCTGGTCTAGAATTCCTGACCTCAAGTGATCCTCCCGCCTCAGCCTCCCAAAGTGCTGGGATTACAGCCGTGAAACAGTGAAACACTGTGCCTGGCCTAATTTTTTATTTTGGTAGTTTACAAGAATGCATATCCTAATGGCATACATTTATAAAATACAAATTTCATATTAATGCTTAAGTTAGTTAATTAAAGAAAAGTTCAGAGCAGTTCACAAGCAGGACACACCAAATTAAAAAGCTAGATTTTGGGGGGGAGGGTAGAATAATAAGCAAAAGCTTTTGGGAGTAAGAGGGAACAGAAATTCTAGAATTGAGCAACTTTAACAAAAATGCCTTGCCATTAGTTCCCTGTGATACAAATCTGGGACACATTAGCAAAATTAGTTGGGTATCTCAATAAGCACAAGTATGAAATAAACACATGGAAAGCATTTGTTTTCTGTTTGGCTTGTGCTACATTGCATGAGGTTTCATGGTATCTGATGCTACTGTGTGAACCCTCCATAGTACATACAACATGCTGAGAATTTAAGTCAGTGGAAAAAGTCACCCATTACTATCATAGCAAATGGATGTGCTTACAACTGAGGCGTTTTCCCAGTGATCCTTCTTCATCTTTGTCATTACTTTTTACTTATTAATATTTTATACTTAAGGAGGTCTTACATCGCATTAAGTTTTATAAAGATCATGCTAGTCCTAATTTCAGTTGTACAGCCAATTTCCTCTTTGATTAGCAAGGTAGTCTTTTTTTTCTTTGTCTTTTTTATGCAAAAACATTAATAATATTATTAAAAGAGGGCTAAGAAGATTTCTCTTTTATACAAAAAATATTATTAGTAGTGCTATTTTGTTAATATTATTAATCAAAAGAGAATTAAGAAGAGAGCAGTTATGCCAGTGAGGAATCCAGAAATTTTGGCAATGTCTGAGCAGAAATAGGTAGAAAACAGAATGAGTTATAGCAGGAAATATCCATTAGTAGCTTGTTGATGTCAACAATTAAGCAGAAGGAAGATTTGGGTCACAAAGAAATTGTGTTTTATAAATGGTGCTACCTGTACAGATCAGTGACTTTTATCTATAAAACATGACCTTTGTCTGCTTTCTGCTGCCTCTGTTTTATTTTTAGAAGTTGTTGAAACAGCCCTTCATTGCTACCACTACCATCATCCTGCCATCTCCAAACCAACATTTGTTGGTAATATACATATTTAAAATATCTAAGTCAAGATTGTCTCTTAACTAATGAATCCTCATTTTTCTCATGCAAAAAAGAAAATTCTTTCTCACATGGGTCAATTTGACTAGAATCACAGACTCATAGAATATTAGACTTAGAAGAGAGCTTAGAAAATGAATAGACTAATGTCCTCATCTTACAGTTGAAGATACTGAATCCATGGAGAAAAAAATGCCATTGCTTATGGTCACACAGAATAAAAATCCCACTTTTGTGTTCTTTTTAATGTATCACAAGTAAACAAAATCATACATCTTAAACAACCACCACATAAACCGCAATTGTCTACATACAATATAGCCAGGAGATATTATACAGAAAATGAAAATTGTGGCACCTATCAGGTGTGCAGCAAATAATTTTGGAATGATTGAATGAACTAATGACTATTAGTGTTTCTTTAATAAAGCACAAGTTTGTAGTTTATGTTTCATTTATATTTTCTTAGATAATGCATTTAACTGGTGGCTGGGGGAAGATTCTCCATGAGCAGCTTGATGCATCTGTTCTAATTGAAGTTCAGAAGCATGTACTAAATAGGCTAGAAAATGTGTGGTTGCCATTGTTCCTTGCAAGTGAACAATTTGGAGCACGTCAAAAGATAAAGGTATATAAATTAATGTAATCTTTGGACAGCAGCTGGCAGTACCTGTCAAAACCTCAAATGTGCACACCTGTTGACCTAGCCATTGTACTTCTGTTGACAGCGATTAAAAGCATGGAGTCAGGCTTCTGTGTTGGCCAGGCTGGAGTGCAGTGGCATGATCATAGCTCACTGCAGCCTCCAACTCCTGGGCTCAAGGCATCCTCCTGCCTCAGCCTCCCAGCTAGCTGGAATTACAGGCGCACACCACCCGCTCCCAGCTCAGGCTCCCAAGTTTTAATCTCAACACTGCCACCTATTAATTGTACCCCTTTTAAGTTTCATAAATTAGATTCCCCGTTTGAAAAATGAAGCTAATAATAGCTATTGCTTTGTAAGGTCCTTGTGAAAATGAAATGAAATGAATGTGTGTTTAGTTTCTTAGTATGGCGCTTGACACATGGAAAACATTCAAATGTTATCTATTAATATAGTTGTTATTTTTAATATTATTAAGTCTTCACACAAATAGACAAGGATATACAAGGACATTCACTACAATAACATATGGGAGAATAATTGAGTGAGTTATGATAATTCCATGCTATGGAAAACTATGCAGATTCCCACATAAAATGAGATTATAAAAATGAGGTTAAAATATAAAAATGAGATTTCCACATGTACTGATATGAAAGGTTTTATTTATTGAATGAAACAAGCAAGATGCAGAACACTATATAGAAGATGATACCATTACATCTATTTACATTGGTACATTTGTCTATCTGTGCATATTTATACATCCATCCATCATCCATCTATCAATCTTTATGCTTATGGGAAAAGATTTAAAAGGATCTCCCTCCTGGGAATGGGTTTGGGGAGCGAGAAGGATTTTTACTTTTTACTTTGTAAAGTGGGTTTGTTTTTGCTTTACTTTGTTTTTATTTTATAAGAAGTAAGTATTACTTTGATAATTTAAAATGTCATTAGCATACCTAAAAAGAGGCAAACCTAATCTTTACAAAAATAACACAAGGGTCAGAAAACATGTCATTTTGTACTTTAGTATGCAAAGCCACATGCCATTAATACTGATCGGGAAGAACCTGAAAAAATTTTCCTCCATTCAATTTCTCAAACACTTTGAGGCCTATTTATCTGGAAACATCCTTAGTCATTTGGGCAATGTATATTATGGAAAACACAGTATAGCTGGGAACACAGAATTTTTAGTGTGGAGAAGAAGAGCTGACTTGATTTAGGCAAAAAGTTCCTGGAAATAAGCTTTGGGAAAACTCAAATCTCCTCATTTCCTTTCTTTGGGCTAACTCCAATTCTCTATCCAAAGCCAAGTAAAAATACATTTGGCTTACTAATACTATTTACCACATTTTCTCATTTTGTTTACCGCAGTAATTTTATTGTAACTCATAGTCATTCCTGACTTACCATTTTTTGAGTGGCCAGAAAAATAAACTGGTTCTGGCAACCTTAAGTCGAAGACAAAAAGGAAGGGTGAGAATTTATTCTAAAATGGTGCTGGGGCATCTCACACACTTAAGGAAAGAGTTAATGCCCAAGCTTTGGAAAAGATGTTGGCCATGATAGCCCTAGGAACCCTGAAAGAATGCTCAGATCTTTTCTCCTGGCCATGGCCATCAAAAAGACTCAGTCCCAGTGAATCCAGTCCTTGTCTCTCCAGATCAGTTCCTGGATTTATTCTGCTGTGGACTGGGAGGGAGAGTCAATAGCACAGGTTTGGCAAGAGTGGTTCCCAAGAAAAAGGAAATATTATGAATAGGCAAGAAGTTATCTATTGTATTTCCCTCTGTATTGAGTAATTTTTGTGCTCTTCTAAAGTTGTGGAAGTATATGGCTAGAAAATAGAACAAACATCTGAGAAGTCGTAATTGTCCCTCCAGCTTCTGTTCCCACGTGAGCCAAAGTGAAACTGTCAACTACATTTGAAGCAGTACAGTCAAGTATTAACTATCTCTATTTTGCAGATGAGGAAACTGTTCAGAGAATTTGAGTGATTCGCCCAAGGACCTAGCTGTAGGGCTTCCATTTCTAAGTTTGATCTTCTTTCTCCTGAACTGCACTATCTCTTTTTAAGCTGACCTTTACCTCATTTTTTATTTAGCTGTTAAATTAGTAAATGATTTCAAAACTTTAGATATTCTGAATAACTGGGATAAAATAATTGGTTTTGCGTTTAGGTGCAGATGAAAGACATAGCAGAAGAGCTCTTACTACAGAAGCATGAAAGGAAAATCGGGGTCTGGAAGGCAAGTATTGCTTGTTATATTCCTCCTCTTGTAAGTTTTGCTTTGTCAAAATACTGTTTTTCCTTCCTGTTCTGTTTAAAGACCCTCACTGTAAACACTGGTACATTTGGTCTAAACCACCAAATGATGGCTGATACGGTTCTTAATCGGTGAATGGAATTTGGAAGAAAGTGTAACTCTACCAGAGCTCTGTTGTTAGAGAGATCCTTGACCAACTCAACCTTAGAAGTGTTTGATTGCCTTTAAATGTGTATTTTTCTTTACTCTGCTTGTGATGGATTTATTGAGACAAGCTGTTCATTCTAGCATATGGGAGTTTATTATTAAGAGTGGTTTACACACAAAAAGAATGAATAATATGCAGTGGAATCAGCAGGTTAAATCAACTTACATTCCCCCTTTATTTAGAATTATAGTTTACCTTTAAAAGAATTAAGATAACTATCATTTTGGTGATTATTAAAACCACTATGATTCTATAATGTGCTAGAAATTGCCTATTTTGCTTTGCAAAAGCATGATAAACTGAGTCTTATTTTTGAAGCTACAAGTTTATATGTATTTATCCTTCTATAGGTCATGATAGAATATCCAACTAGACATAGGTGACCCTCTGCAAACTAAAAAAGATAAAAATTTATTTGAATGTTAGAGGAATGTATGTATGTTAGTATGCCCTTTCCTGTGTTTTCCTCTTGAAAGGAAGTAAACTTTGTTTTCTGCTATATTTTTTATTGAAATTTTAAGTGGAATGGGCTTATATTTTATATTATTGCACATTGTATAATATTTTCTGTTTAGTTAAATTACAGGTTTTAGTTAGATTTCTAAGTTTTAGTATCTTAAGAAGCAGACCTTAAAACATTATTTGCTAAGTGGATTTTAAATAAACATCCCTGTCTAATACATAGTTGTTCCTATTTATAGGGCTGTAATTTTAATATGGACCATATGGTGAGGCTCTTAACTTTTTTGTTCAGAGAACATGACATGTACCTCACTAAAATAGTGATAGACATCTATTCACTTTGGGTTAACAGCACTACCGTTCATCTAGATTGCCTGAAGTTGCCTTCAGTTTTCAGTTTCCAACTCAGAGGTCATCCTCAAGGCCCTTCCCTGTAAAGGTTTTACTCACTCAGATTGCATTAGTTACTCCTTTCTTTGTGTTCCCATAGCACTTTTTTACATAACTCTCTAAACACATATTGATGGTCACATATGATTTGTGTCAAGGAATTTATTTTATGCATTGTCAGTAATGGCTATTTTTCATGTATTTTAATTAATATAATGCCTAAATACATCTAAAACGTTGCCTTTGGAATGATGCTTCCTTGCATGGTTGTACACTAAAACCAGATTTGGGAAACTTCAATAAAATTCAGATCTATTCAATAAATTCAATAAAATCTCTTTCTTATATTTTCGAATCTGAGAGGTTAAAGGGAATTGAATATGTGATTTTAAATGATCGAAATAAAAAAAAGTAGACATTTTAAAATTGTGAAGATATAAAGTAAATGTAGATAAAAATATCTTTATGACACCATTAGTGCTTCTGGATTTTACGTTATATAAAGTAAATCCTTCAGAGGAATTTTATTATTGAAAATACTTTATTAGTAATTATCATTATCATTCTTAATTATTAGTCATAATTTATTATTAAAATAATGTAAAGATATCTCACTTAAAAACATAATCTTTCCAGGATGAAATTATAGTGAGGCTCAGCCAGTTTTCTATTTAAATTATGGAATTATTTATGGCGCTTGACACATGGAAAACATTCAAATGTTATCTATTAATATAGTTGTTATTTTTAATATTATTAAGTCTTCACACAAATGGACAAGGATATACAAGGACATTCACTACAATAACATATGGGAGAATAATTGAGTGAGTTATGATAATTCCATGCTATGGAAAACTATGCAGATTCCCACATAAAATGAGATTATAAAAATGAGGTTAAAATATAAAAATGAGATTTCCACATGTACTGATATGAAAGGTTTTATTTATTGAATGAAACAAGCAAGATGCAGAACACTATATAGAAGATGATACCATTACATCTATTTACATTGGTACATTTGTCTATCTGTGCATATTTATACATCCATCCATCATCCATCTATCAATCTTTATGCTTATGGGAAAAGATTTAAAAGGATCTCCCTCCTGGGAATGGGTTTGGGGAGCGAGAAGGATTTTTACTTTTTACTTTGTAAAGTGGGTTTGTTTTTGCTTTACTTTGTTTTTATTTTATAAGAAGTAAGTATTACTTTGATAATTTAAAATGTCATTAGCATACCTAAAAAGAGGCAAACCTAATCTTTACAAAAATAACACAAGGGTCAGAAAACATGTCATTTTGTACTTTAGTATGCAAAGCCACATGCCATTAATACTGATCGGGAAGAACCTGAAAAAATTTTCCTCCATTCAATTTCTCAAACACTTTGAGGCCTGTTTATCTGGAAACATCCTTAGTCATTTGGGCAATGTATATTATGGAAAACACAGTATAGCTGGGAACACAGAATTTTTAGTGTGGAGAAGAAGAGCTGACTTGATTTAGGCAAAAAGTTCCTGGAAATAAGCTTTGGGAAAACTCAAATCTCCTCATTTCCTTTCTTTGGGCTAACTCCAATTCTCTATCCAAAGCCAAGTAAAAATACATTTGGCTTACTAATACTATTTACCACATTTTCTCATTTTGTTTACCGCAGTAATTTTATTGTAACTCATAGTCATTCCTGACTTACCATTTTTTGAGTGGCCAGAAAAATAAACTGGTTCTGGCAACCTTAAGTCGAAGACAAAAAGGAAGGGTGAGAATTTATTCTAAAATGGTGCTGGGGCATCTCACACACTTAAGGAAAGAGTTAATGCCCAAGCTTTGGAAAAGATGTTGGCCATGATAGCCCTAGGAACCCTGAAAGAATGCTCAGATCTTTTCTCCTGGCCATGGCCATCAAAAAGACTCAGTCCCAGTGAATCCAGTCCTTGTCTCTCCAGATCAGTTCCTGGATTTATTCTGCTGTGGACTGGGAGGGAGAGTCAATAGCACAGGTTTGGCAAGAGTGGTTCCCAAGAAAAAGGAAATATTATGAATAGGCAAGAAGTTATCTATTGTATTTCCCTCTGTATTGAGTAATTTTTGTGCTCTTCTAAAATTGTGGAAGTATATGGCTAGAAAATAGAACAAACATCTGAGAAGTCGTAATTGTCCCTCCAGCTTCTGTTCCCACGTGAGCCAAAGTGAAACTGTCAACTACATTTGAAGCAGTACAGTCAAGTATTAACTATCTCTATTTTGCAGATGAGGAAACTGTTCAGAGAATTTGAGTGATTCGCCCAAGGACCTAGCTGTAGGGCTTCCATTTCTAAGTTTGATCTTCTTTCTCCTGAACTGCACTATCTCTTTTTAAGCTGACCTTTACCTCATTTTTTATTTAGCTGTTAAATTAGTAAATGATTTCAAAACTTTAGATATTCTGAATAACTGGGATAAAATAATTGGTTTTGCGTTTAGGTGCAGATGAAAGACATAGCAGAAGAGCTCTTACTACAGAAGCATGAAAGGAAAATCGGGGTCTGGAAGGCAAGTATTGCTTGTTATATTCCTCCTCTTGTAAGTTTTGCTTTGTCAAAATACTGTTTTTCCTTCCTGTTCTGTTTAAAGACCCTCACTGTAAACACTGGTACATTTGGTCTAAACCACCAAATGATGGCTGATACGGTTCTTAATCGGTGAATGGAATTTGGAAGAAAGTGTAACTCTACCAGAGCTCTGTTGTTAGAGAGATCCTTGACCAACTCAACCTTAGAAGTGTTTGATTGCCTTTAAATGTGTATTTTTCTTTACTCTGCTTGTGATGGATTTATTGAGACAAGCTGTTCATTCTAGCATATGGGAGTTTATTATTAAGAGTGGTTTACACACAAAAAGAATGAATAATATGCAGTGGAATCAGCAGGTTAAATCAACTTACATTCCCCCTTTATTTAGAATTATAGTTTACCTTTAAAAGAATTAAGATAACTATCATTTTGGTGATTATTAAAACCACTATGATTCTATAATGTGCTAGAAATTGCCTATTTTGCTTTGCAAAAGCATGATAAACTGAGTCTTATTTTTGAAGCTACAAGTTTATATGTATTTATCCTTCTATAGGTCATGATAGAATATCCAACTAGACATAGGTGACCCTCTGCAAACTAAAAAAGATAAAAATTTATTTGAATGTTAGAGGAATGTATGTATGTTAGTATGCCCTTTCCTGTGTTTTCCTCTTGAAAGGAAGTAAACTTTGTTTTCTGCTATATTTTTTATTGAAATTTTAAGTGGAATGGGCTTATATTTTATATTATTGCACATTGTATAATATTTTCTGTTTAGTTAAATTACAGGTTTTAGTTAGATTTCTAAGTTTTAGTATCTTAAGAAGCAGACCTTAAAACATTATTTGCTAAGTGGATTTTAAATAAACATCCCTGTCTAATACATAGTTGTTCCTATTTATAGGGCTGTAATTTTAATATGGACCATATGGTGAGGCTCTTAACTTTTTTGTTCAGAGAACATGACATGTACCTCACTAAAATAGTGATAGACATCTATTCACTTTGGGTTAACAGCACTACCGTTCATCTAGATTGCCTGAAGTTGCCTTCAGTTTTCAGTTTCCAACTCAGAGGTCATCCTCAAGGCCCTTCCCTGTAAAGGTTTTACTCACTCAGATTGCATTAGTTACTCCTTTCTTTGTGTTCCCATAGCACTTTTTTACATAACTCTCTAAACACATATTGATGGTCACATATGATTTGTGTCAAGGAATTTATTTTATGCATTGTCAGTAATGGCTATTTTTCATGTATTTTAATTAATATAATGCCTAAATACATCTAAAACGTTGCCTTTGGAATGATGCTTCCTTGCATGGTTGTACACTAAAACCAGATTTGGGAAACTTCAATAAAATTCAGATCTATTCAATAAATTCAATAAAATCTCTTTCTTATATTTTCGAATCTGAGAGGTTAAAGGGAATTGAATATGTGATTTTAAATGATCGAAATAAAAAAAAGTAGACATTTTAAAATTGTGAAGATATAAAGTAAATGTAGATAAAAATATCTTTATGACACCATTAGTGCTTCTGGATTTTACGTTATATAAAGTAAATCCTTCAGAGGAATTTTATTATTGAAAATACTTTATTAGTAATTATCATTATCATTCTTAATTATTAGTCATAATTTATTATTAAAATAATGTAAAGATATCTCACTTAAAAACATAATCTTTCCAGGATGAAATTATAGTGAGGCTCAGCCAGTTTTCTATTTAAATTATGGAATTATTTGATAATTTTTTCTTAAAAAATTAAAAAAATATTTTTTATCCCATATATGATAATATGAAAAAAATATTAAATGTTCAACTGCTTTTTTGAAAAGGCAGGAGAATTATATATTAATATGTAACATATATGTAATAATAAAATAAGTAATATTAATATATAACTGTAACATTATGATTACTTTGTTCTATTTAAGCATAGAACTCATACTATTCACTAAAAAGTGGTTTTTCACCATAGTCTCAAACTGTAATAACTGTTAACATTCTTAAACAATGTTCTAAATCATCCAGTCATTTCTTTTTCTCTCTACCTCTTAAAAAATGATGCCATAAAAATATGAGAGACAAAAGAGACGGGAACAGAGGGTAAAGAAAGCTGCCAAATTCTATTGTATCCATGCCACAAATTTCAACAGCCAAAATTAAAGGAAACAGAAGCTCATAATTAATGACTTTATTATTACTTTTACCACACAGCTAATTTTCTGTATCCTCTGTTTTGGACAGCCTGTGGAGAGTAAGTGGATATCTTCATCTTGTGAAATCATTGCTTTTCGTAAAGCTTTATTGAATCCAGTTACTGCAAGACAATTTCAACATTTTGTGGCTCTAAAAGGAGATTTATTGGAAAATGGGGTGCTTTTTTGGCAAGAAGTACAAAAATATAAGGTATTGTATTGGAAGCTGGTGAATACCTCTTTTTGAGGAGGAAATGCATTAATACATTAGATTTTTAACTGTAACTTTATATTAATAGGTAAGATCTGTATAAGATATCCCAATTTTGTCATCATCTTTTTACCAGAGCATAAATATTGAGGTGTTTATTGTAGACTCTAGATACATTTAGTATTATACAGCAAATAGTAAGAGTGAGCCCTGGAATCACTCTTGGAACAAGTTGAGCATCTCAAATCCAAAAGTCTGAAACTTGAAGTGCTCCAAGTCCAAAACTTTGTGAGTACCGACATGGCACTCAAAGGAAATGCTCATTGGAGTATTTCAGATTTCAGATTTTTGGATTTGGGATACTTACCTGGTAGGTATAATACAAATATTCCAAAATCCAAAAAAAATCCCAAATTTGAAACGCTTCTGGTCCCAAGCATTTTGGATAAGGGATATTCAGCCTGTATTAGGTTTTTCAAGGTATTAACATACAGTATGATTTAATGAGAACCTTCCTGAAGAGAGTTTTAACTATATTTTTACATATCATTAATCTATAAGTGACTTACACATTTTTCCTGACGCTATCCATATTCGATATACTCATATAACCAAAAGTTTGTTATAAGAATTCTTCCCAACCGTATTTATAGCAATAGTAATGAAAGATGTTGGATTATAGATAAATAAACCAACAGTGATGAGAAAGACTCTTCTATTAGAAGGAATGACCAAATTCTTAACAAAATAAGAAAAAAAAAACAAGTGGTTAGGTGCAAAGGCAGTTTATTTTCAGGTTAAGTGTTTAATGGAATCATATAGAATCTTTGCATTGAAGAGGAGGAAGGGACTTTCTATGTTATGTTATCTAGACTTGAATAAAGAAATGTGGTCTAAAAATACCTAAGAGGTATCTAGTCTCTGCTTAAATGCCCCCAGAGGTAGCAGGCTTATTTCCTTACAAGTAGCCTATTCTATCCCATTGTAAAAGTGGAAAATAAAAATAAACAAAATGTAAGAGTATAATGCTTTCAAATGACCTGTAATCTAACTACATATTATGTAACACTAATACAATTGATCAATATATAGTTACTCATCGCTCAATAAAATCTACTTCTAAGCTTTTTCCAATATACCATGAAACTGTTTCTACTCTTTTCTGTTATCAACAGTTTTGGGACAATTCTCAGCTTAAGCAGTAACATAAAGAATTTTTTTTGAGAGAAGTTGTTTTCACTATCTTTCACAAGAGTAATTTTTATTTTTATTTTTATTTTTTTTTGAGACAGAGTCTCACTGTGTTGCCCGGGGTAGAGTGCCGTGGCATCAGCCTAGCTCACAGCAACCTCAAACTCTTGGGCTCAAGCGATCCTCCTGCCTCAGCCTCCCGAGTATCTGGGACTACAGGCATGCGCCACCATGCCCGGCTAATTTTTTCTATATATTTTTAGTTGTCCGATTAATTTGTTTCTATTTTTAGTAGAGATGGGGTCTTGCTCTTGCTCAGGCTGGTTTCGAACTCCTGAGCTCAAACGATCCACCCACCTCGGTCTCCCAGAGAGCTAGGATTACAGGCGTGAGCCACCGCGCCCCGCCCCAAGAGTAATATTAAAATAATTCTTTTCGAGAATTAGAAAGGAGGTACAGTCTGTTTTCCACAGTAGGCAATTTTTTAATGAGATAAACTTTAGAAAATAGATATTTAAAAAAAAAAAAAACGTCGACTCACACATAGTCAACCCTTGGTTTTGTGACCTTCTCCTTCAAGGCTGCCCTTGGTCTCTATTTTAATATCTTTCCTACAGTATAGCATGAAGGACTTACCATAGTAGGTAGCCATTAAAAATCATGCTATAGGAGTAAATTTGTTCATCCAACAAACATTAAGTATCTAGTGTGCCAGGCATTATGCTGGATTGCAGGAATAAAAAAGTGAATACAATACATTTCCCTCCCTCAGGGAGGAAGACATCCATGAAAACAAATATGAAATAGCGTTGGTTCTGATCCATGTTCTGACTAGGCATAATTTTAGCTCAGAGAAAGGAATGATGGGGGTGGGGGGCGGTAGGTCAGGGAGATCTCGGCAAAAGTGACAATGTTTACCTTGGGTCTTGAGGGAGTTTACCAGTTGGAAAGCATTCCACATGGCAAAGTCTTACTGAGCTAACTCTCTTATGGCTTCATCTTATTAAATGTTTACTAGGTACTAGATATTGTCTTAATGCTTTTTGTGTAACAATGAATTTATTGTTATAGTATGTTAATAATGAATTTATTCTTCACAAGAATCCTATGAAGTCAAGGATGTTATTTTCACCATTTTACAGATGAAGCTAGTGTCCAGAAAAGTTAAGGCACTGTCAACATTACACAGCTAATTAAGCATTAGAGCTAGAATTTAATCAAGTCATTATATTGCCAAAGCCATGCCCTCAACCACTAAGTTATGCTGCCTCCCAGTAATGACTGTGGTAAGATGCAAAGAGATAGCTAGAGTAGTTTTAATCGTTGTTCTGGATTGGGAAAAATTGGAAAGAACCCTGTTGTACAAGAGGACATTGATTACTTAATTAATGATATATCCATGCAATAAAATACTCCTCAGCCATTAAAAACTATGGTCTCCAACCTCCTGGGTCCACAGACTTGAACCAGTAGGTGGCCTGTGAGGACCGGGGCAGCACAGTGGAAGGTGAACTTTGGGCAAGCACGTGAAGCTCCATCTGTATTAACAGCCACTCTCCATCACTTGCACCTCCATTTGAGCTCAGCTTCCTGTCAGATCAACACAGCATTAGATTCTCATAAGAATGGGAACCCTACTGTAAATTGAGCATGAGAGGGATCTAGATTGTGCACCCCTTATGAGAATCTAATGTCTGATGATCTGAGATGAAGCTGCGGTGGTGTAGCTAGCACAGGGGAGCAGCTGCAAATATAGATTATCATTAGCAGAGAGGTTTGACTACACAATAAATGTAATGCACTTGAATAATCCTGAAACCATCTGCCTCCCACCCCCACCAGTCTGCGGAAAAATTGTCTTCTAGGAAACCAGTCCCTGGTGCCAAAAAGTTTGGGGACTGCTGATTTAAAATGTTGTGGGAGCCGGGCACAGTGGCTCGTGCCTGTAATCTTAGCACTTTGGGAGGCTGAGGTGGGATGATCACTTGAGACAAGGAGTTTGAGACCAGCTGAACAACATAGCAAGACCTCGTCTATACAAAAAATAAAAATTTAGCTGGGTGTGGTGTGCACCTGTAGTCCCAGCTAGTTGGGAGGCTGAGGCAGGAGGATTGCTTGAACCCAGGAGGTTGAGGTTTTACAATGAGCTATGATGATGCCACTGCACTCTAGCCTGGACAACAGAGCAAGACCCTCCCTGTCTCAAAAAAAAAGTTGTGGGAGAACAATCAATAATGGGAGAAGGTGTTCTTATGATTGATTTCTTTAAACTTAACTACTAAAAAAAAGTATGATTTAATCTGAAGTGTGTATGTGTGTGTGTGTAGAGAGAGAGAAAAAGAGTGGAAGGATATATTCATCCAACAAATATTTATTGAGCACCTACCAAGGGCCAGGCTAAATCCTGGATAGAACTATGATCAAAACAGTCTTCCTCTTTGAGTTTACAGTGTCGTGGGAGGGACAGGTGAGTGGTGGACAAAACAATTATAAGAGTGTGATTAGTATAATACAATGATGGAGGAATCACAGTATGCTAGGGAAGTCCCCAAGATGGACATCTCTCCTGGATGGCAGGAGTCACAGAAAGCTTAACAGAGGAAAGTGTGCTTACACTGAGACCTTAACAATGGGTAAGAGTTAACTAGGCTAACAGCACAGTAGGGCAGAACAATGAGAAAAAAAATATCAGATATATAATGATTCTGTCTAAATTCTCTTCCTTTACTCAAAATTACAACTGCGTAACTTGACAAATTTATTTTTTTATTTTATAAGCCTTACATTAATATTCCAAAATTATGAGGCTCACCAAGTAATTATATATGATATAATCCCAAAATTAACAAACATATGTGGTATAAATAGGCTTTTTCTGAGGTGATACTAAATTAAGTAAGAAGTGCTAACTATTGTTTCAATGTGACATTTATAGTAAGTTTTTTTCACGCATAACTTACGCCAGACTATAATATATGTAAAGTTTTACGTGACAGGCACCAGAATTTTTCTTTCTTTCATAATGTCCATAAGACAGCTATTACAATGCCAAGTATGCACAGGGTACTTAATAAATGTTGGCTCATTTCTGATTCAGAATTGTAAGTTTCGAAATTTTTTTGCTTTCTGTGATTTAGAAAATAGTGTCTTTGACAGAGAAATGCCATAATTCAAGCAAAGCCACCTCTTTTTTTAATTTTTATTTATTTTTTAAATCTCAAAGCTTTTTATTTTTTATTTTAAATTTTATATTAATGCATAACTCTTTTTTATTTTAGCATATTATAGGGGTACAAATGTTTAGGTTACTTTATTTAAAAAAGAATGATAGCCCTACTATCTGTGACTTTAAAACTGGCTCTTTTTAATGTACAATCATTATTTTTAGTTGTTTATCTATAAAGAGGATAATGGATTTAGGCCTTTTTGAGCCTAAATCACCTTGGTATGGAAGCAGGTCTGGATGGGGAAGCTTTTACATCCACCTATAGGCTGAGTTAGGTGCCTTTTCTCAGTGCTCTCCTAGGACCCTGTGTGTACCTCTGTCATGACATTTAGTAACTATCCAAAATTGGAGTAATGTGTTTTCACGCTATTCCTCCAGTAGAGATTGAACCTTAAAGGGGCAGGGACTGTGTCTTGAGCCTCAGCTCAGTGTCTGACATACAGCAGGCTCTCAATATATAGTTGTTAAATGAGTCAAAGTAGACACTAAAGCTGTTCCTTGGCTAGGGGAACAAGTGATCAGGATTAAATGAAATCTGTGTTTAAAGGTATATGCATCCACACCTAACGGGTATGGTATGCGCTATCTGGGGACGGACACATTTGTAGCTATGACTTGAATGGTGCAAAAGCAATATATGTAGCCTCAACATTTGTACCCCCATACTATTTTGAAATAAAAAAAATAAAGATATATGTATCAAAATGTTAAATTCCTCACATCCAAGATAAAGAAAAGCTATGATTTTTTAAGATAGCCTTGACATGTCTCAGTACCCTCTTTATCTAAAGTTAAAATGTATGTACTTCTAAAGTTAAAATATATGTAATTGGAACATATATTAACATGGTTCTATAAAGTAATGCATTAGATTTGTTTGTTTTTTAACAGAATCTTGCTCTGTCACCCAGGCTACAGTGCAGTGTGCAGTGGTACAGTCATAGCTCACTGCAGCCTCCAACTCCGGGGCTCAAGCAATCCTCTTGCCTCAGCCTCCCATGTAGCTAAGACTACAGGCACTTACCATCATGCCTGGCTAATTTTTTTTTTTTTTTTTTTTAGAGACAGAGTCTCACTATGTTGCCTGGGCTGGTCTCGCACTCCTGGCCTCAAGCAGTCCTTTTCAAGTGCTGGGATTACAGGCATGAGCCACCGTACCTCGCCAATGCATTAGTTATAAATATATTGTTTTATCTTTCCTCTTCCTTGTTCAGGACTTGTGCCATTCTCATTGTGATGCATCTGTCATCCAGAAGAAGATCACAACTATTATCAACTGCTTCATTAATTCCAATATTCCACCAGCTTTACAAATTGACATTCCAGTAGAGCAAGCCCAGAAGATTATTGAACACAGAAAGGAGTTAGGACCATATGTATTTAGAGAAGCACAGGTAAGAGATCAGGGCATGTGGCTAAGCATATTTTAAAATAGATTGAAAATCTAGATATTCTTTTAAAGCTTTTGTATTATTCATATTTGGCCAGGTTCCAGTCCTCCCAATACTGGGGTTTATTCTATTTAAATAATCTTTCCATATGCCATGGCAATATAAGACTCTAGTAACTTACATACTCTTTTGTTGATGGTAATATGCAGCAAATAAAATTAAATATTACACTTTGTTTTTCCATGGTTACCATTTTTGTTTCTAACTTAAAAAACTCCAGCTAATTCCTCCTTCCTTTCCCACCATTCATATCTCCTTTTAAAATATCTGCTACCATAAAAATGTGTAAAATATGTGTGTCCCAAGATTTGTGTATTTTTAAAAATTGGAATATTCACATAGCTCATAAAATAAGTGAGAGGAGATCTAAGTACCCTACCAACGTAAAGTACACAAACTCATGAAAGGAAAATCATGCCTGTTAACCTGCTCAAGTTACTTCTTTTTAAGATAAATAATAGAAAACAGTGACTTGGTGAACATAATTTATTTGCATTTTGAAAAGCCTTTTAGTGATGTTGTTCCTAAAAAAAATGATTAAGAAAAATAAATTATAATAGGGGTAATAGAGAAGGCCATGTCATGAATTAAGTGATATAAAACAGAGATTTAGAGTATGACTACCCATGAGCATGGAAAAAAGCCATTATTCCATAACATTCCTTTGTGAGCCAGCTGTGTCCTAAGTCCTAAGGAACTAAAAGTGGACTTATATTCTAAATTATGCATCAAAATAGGCAGAAATATAGAGGAATGATTGAGGATGTGCTAGAGAGAAATAGAGAAAACATAGTGTCAGAATAGTAGTATCTGTTAATGAAAAGATCTTAGAGATATAACTTAGCCTAGCCTAGGTCTCCTGAGAACCAGGACTTGCCCATCTATATCAAAGACCTTGAGTCGGATGGTGAATGTCTGAAGCTGCTGGCGTTGGTTCTGGCACACTCTTCAGGGATTGCAGCCAAAGAATTTCACTGGCATCCTCTAACCTGTGACTTCTACCTGATTTCCTAAAATGGAGTCTTAGATATATCTTAAACATGGACTTTGGAGCATCTGAAAATGGAGAATCTTTATTTAGGGGCCTCAACCCACAGAATCTGTTATTCTTCCTGTTTTCCTAAGAAAGCTCAGAGAATGGCATCCCCTCTTACTGGTACGTACAATCCAGAGATCTGGTGGCCATCTTCATGTCTTCTTCCCTCTCCTTCGTTCCCTTACCCCCATTGTAATCAGGCCCAAAAACTCATTCATTTGTCTCCTTGTTAACTGTCGTTCCATCCACTTTTCTCTAACTCCACACCACTAGTTCACTTCGGATCTGCAACATATCTCATATTCATTATCAGAACTCCCCGACTCTGGGCTCTCGCCAAACCATTCAACTCACAGCAGACAGACAATCTTTTTCAAAATGTGTATCTGGTCATGTCACTTCTCTGCTTAAAATATTTAAATTGCTTCCCACTGCCCTCAGAATGAAGTCCATACTCCTACGTAACTCTCTAGCTACATCTTTTTCCACTCCCTGCCATCTCTGCCCCAGTCTCACTGAAATACTGTAGTTCCATAAATGACCCTTACTCTTTGCCCTCCTGAGCTTTTTGCAGTATCATCCTGTCTCCTGTTTTTGTCCCTGTCATAACGCTTAATGCACTAAATTGAAAGTGACTGTTCTCACGTCTGACTTTCCCATAAGATTGTAACCTCTTTGAAGGCAGAGAATGTTTCTTATTTTGGGGCCCAGACGTCTGGCATAGAGTAGGCATTTTTTGGACACATGAATGAATGATGTGAGAAGAGATCTGTCATGACCGAAGGAAGTAAGATCAAATTGGAAATGAGAGCAAAGTTGAGCAGAAGGGCTGAATGGTAAATAAAAACCTGCTGAGGGTTTCAGCGTTGTTATCAGTGTAGCCTCTGCCTATCCCCTACTGCCACTCCCAGCGGCCTGGAAATTATCATCACTCAGCCGCATTTTCACTGACCCCTTTCACTCATACTAAAGCCATTGATTGCGCATCTGCTGGCAGTGAGCAAAGTAGCTCTTTATTAAAATGTTTTCTTACCCACAATTTGGTTATCTTTTAAGGTTCTGGAGGTACAGGGTAATTTTCATTAATGATAGATATTAAGCTAAAATCTCAATTGCAACTTTTAAGAACAGAGCAGTGTTATGCTTTTCATTGAAAAGTTGTGTCCTAATTGGGTGACTTTTACTGGAAAGCCTTCTAGATGGAAATATATATATATATCTGGGAGCTGGGAATGACTTAGATTTTGAGAGATAACTGAGAAGTACAGTCAATAGTAAATAGAAAAGGAGTAGTATTTAAGCCTAGGAAGTTTATAATAAAAACTACCAT